ATATACAAGTACCATTGTATGTGACCTACCAACAGGTGCTGTTATCTACCACAACTAACATATACAAGTACATTGTATGACCCTACCACACAGTGTGCTGGTATCTACACAACTTACATATACAAGTAATTGGTATGAACCTACAACAGAGTGCTGGTATCTACACAACTTACTATACAAGTACATTGTAGGACCTACCAACTCAGTTGCTGGTATCTACAAACTTACATTTAAACAAGTAAATTGTATGACCTACCAACGGGTGTGGTATCTACACAACATACATATACAAGTACATTGTATGACCTACAACAGGTGCTGGTATCTGCACAAACTTACTTATACATGTACATGTATGACTACCAACAGGTTGCTGGTTATCTTTACAACTTAATATACAAGTTACATTGTATTACCCTACCAACTGTGGCTGGTATCTACACAAACTTACATATACAAGTACATTGTATGACTCACCAACAGGGGCTGGTATCATCACAACTTCATACACAAGTGCATTGTATGAACACCAAAAGGTGCTGGTATTACACAACTTACATATACAAGTTACATTGTATGACCTACCAACAGGTGCTGGTATCTCACAACTCTTACATATACAAGTTGCATTGTATGGACTCTACCACAGGTGCTGGATTCTACCACAACTTACATATTCAAGTACATTGTATGACTACCAAAACAGGTGCTGGTATTACACAACTTACATATACAAGTACATTATATGACCTACCAACAGGGCTGGTATTACACAACTTACATATACAAGTAACATTGTTGACCTACCAAAGGTGCTGGTATCTACATGATATACGAAGACAAAAACCTGCATAAGATGAGGTAATTAGCCCGTCAGTCACGCAGAACTATGAACAGAAGACATCAGTTGAGATATTCAGTCCCTCAACCTAGAAGCCAGTGTTCCGAAGGAAGATGGACTCTGATATACTGGAATCAGATGAGGTGCAGCAGTTGAAGTCACTGTATCTCTTAGGTATTGTATTCTAATTTTATGATACTTGATTGACACAACAGCACCACTGAATCCTGATACAGAGGATGTGTCCTGCAACCTGTTTGTTAAGCTCTGGCCCGTTCTTGTGCATGACTAGTGGATCCCGCTTAAAGTGACTCCAGCTATTAAATCTCATCTGACTCCAGTGTATAAGAGTTCATTTTCATACCTATGTTACAGATTCATCAAGATTAAGGTACGGTATTGTTTACCTCATCTTACGTCTTCTGTGTATAGTTCTGCAAGACTGAAGATGAAGAATAAATTACCTCATCTCTACTAAACTGAAGAGGTCACTGATTGGAGAAAAGTTGTCAAATGAAAATACCCACTTGTTGCATATGAGTCTAATTCCTCGCCACCACTGAATATAACAATAATGTATCAGTTAAGGAATCACAGACTAAACTTACGGACAAAGCATTTTGCATCAAGTACAGGAATAAGAGGTAAAAAGGTGTTTTTTCCTGTGGCTTGGATGGAGGATAGTCTTAGTCAACTAGGAAACATCGTGACTGGTAAAGGGAGTAACCCTATTATCTGCCTCGGCAATAGAGGAAATAGCAAGTATACAAGTGATAACTTACTTTGCCACCAGGTCAGTGGCCTGGTGGCTAAAGCTCTCGTTTCACACGGTGAGTGTCCGGGTTAGATTCCCTGCGACAGTTAAAACATTGTGCATGTTTCCTTACACCTTTTGTCTCTGTTCATCCATCAGTACAAAAAAAATGGGTACCTGGGTGTTAGTCGACTGGTGTGGGTCGCATCCCGGGATAAAATTAACCTAATTTGCCCGAAATACAATGCATAACAAGCGGCTTTCTACATAGTAGTATGTCATTGATGTCAGCTAGGACTGTATACCTTGTACATGTACTTGTAGAAATTATTATTATTAGTAGTAGTAGTAGTAGTAGTAGTAGTAGTTTTATTAAAATGTTGGTAGGATAGCGAAGCATAATTAGGAAGAGAAGAAGAATCCCTTGTCAATTATTATTATAATCAAGGGGGAGCGCTAAGCTCGTAGGGTTATGCAGCGCCTGTAGGGGGATGTGGAAGGTATTCAGGCTTAATTCAGGGAACCGGAGCACAGATCCAATTCCTTAGATCAAGAGCCCCTCACCAGCGTTTAAGGAGCCTCCCTTCAGGGAAATCCTGTTTCATACTTGGTATTTTGCCGTGGACGAGAGTGGATGTCCAGAGCAAGTGATGTTAGTTGTTAACTGGACAAGGTTGTCCAGAGCAAGTGATGTTAGTTGTTAACTGGACAAGGAATATAAGGGCACAGCAGTTCTATTTACTGGTGGACATGTATACAGTGAAGGGTTGTTAGCTTGTCCCCTGTACTTGGGTACTGAAGTTTCAAGGCCGACTTCTTTGAGTTTTGTGCAGCTGTACCTTCAGGTGAAGTTAGAGCCGGAGGAAACTTGGAAGGAGATGTAGCTCCATAGAGAGAAGATTCATTCCTGGAACGAGGAAAAGGAGGTATTTCACATGACCTACTTCCACTAGTGTGTCCTGCCCACCTGTGATGCCCTCTCTAGCTACTGCACCTCACCTCTGGCTCCAGTAAATAAGCCGCTTCTATCTCATGTTTGCTTCAGGCTAAGGGACTGTTCACCGTCATTCAGCTCTAAGAGACTGAGCACCTATCGATGTTAAGGGCCTGAATGCCTACCGAAGATGGCGGACTAAACACCTCCAAATTACCTGTCCACGTTGAGAGAAATAACGACAATGGGAATGTGAAGCCGTTATACGTCCGAGAAAAGTTTAATTACTGCGTAAAAGCAGTTATGAAGGCGGAAGAAACAGTATTTGTCCGAAGAGAATTTCTATACGTATATACCGACCACCAACTTTAAAGACTTAAGGGAAACTTCTTGGTAGTGGAGGTAATTGTAAAGGCTTCAAGAAGCAATAGGGTAGTAATTCTAGGGAATTTCCTTTTTTATCCTAATGAATTAGAATTCTTTGAGTGGGAATCTAGAGTCATACAACTTCCTAACGACTTTTTCTAAAGTTTGTGAAAGAACCAGAGAAGAGATAACCGGTTTCATTTATTTCTGGCAAACAATGAGACCTTTGTTAACAATATGGAGATCACAGAGTAACTACAACTAGATTTACCACTTATTATTCTCTATTTCATTTACTGCATTGCCAAAAAAAAATACAGTACATAGAAAACCATAGAGGATACACTTCGGGCAGATCAACTTAGAGAGTGAGAGAGATGAGGAGTGTGTGGAGATGAGTGAGTGTGTGAGAAGTAGTGAGAGGAGTGTGAGAGTGTGGATGTGTGTGTGTGAGTGTGAGTGTGAGAGAAGAGGAGATGAGACGTGGAGATGAGTGTGGAGAGAGAGAGGAGAGAGAGAGTGTGAGAGAGAGAGTGAGAGAGACGAGAGAGAGAGATGAGAGTGTAGTGAAGAGAGGGAGAAGTGAGGAGATGAGAGAGTGAAGAGAGAGAGGATAGGACGTGTGGAGAGAGAGGGAGAGAGGAGAGAGAGATGGAGAAGAGTGAGAGAGGAGGGAGAGAGTGAGAGAGAGATGAGAGAGAGAGAGAGAGAGAGTGAGAGAGAGTGAGAGAGAGGAGTGAGGAGTAGAGAGAGAGAGGGGAGGAGAGAGACGAGAGAGAGAGAGAGAGAGTGAGAGAGAGAGAGAGTGAGAGACGAGAGAGAGAAGAGAGAGAGAGAGAGAGGAGAGAAGTGAGGAGAGAGAGAGAGTGTGAGAGAGAGATAGATAGAGTGTGAGAGAGTGAGGAGAGAGAGTGGGAGTAGAGAGGAGTGGAGAGAGAAGAGTAGAGAGGAGAGAGTGATGGAGAGTGGTCAGAGAGAGAGAGAGAGAGTGAGGGGTGAGACCTACAAAGGTGTGGATCTACACAATTAATATACAGTACTTGTATGACCTCAAGGTGCGGGTATCTACACAACTTACAAATTTAAAAGTCATTGTATGCCCTACCAAAGGTGTGGATCTACCAATTAATAAAAAGTAATTTTTTGCCCTCCAACAGGTGCTGGTATCTAAAACAACTTACATTACAAGTACATTGTATGCCCTACCAACAGGTGCTGGTTCTACACAACTTATATACAAAACATTGTATGACCTCCAACAGGTGTGGTATCTGACATTCCCAACACACAACAACAGACAATGGAAACACCATCCACATATACTGTCATCCTTTTTTCTGAACACTGCAACGAAAAATAATTAGGAATTATTGAGAACATGATTCATTGTATATATAGGTGTGTTATCCCAGATGTGTGTGTGTGTGGTTTTTTACTACCTAGTTCGGGTTTTGCAGGGGTCGAGTCCAACCTCCTGGCCCCGGTGTGTGTGCGTGTGTGTGTGTTTGCATTCACTTATGCTTTCACTAATATATGGTTGCAGGGGTCTAGTCTCACCTGCCCCTACCTCCGCTGGCCGCTACTAGATTTTCTTTCTCTTGGCTGCATAAGCCCTTTATGGATTCTACCACATCATTGTTTAGGTCATTCCACTTGCTGATCACTCTGAGGCTGACGAAATATTTCTTAACATCCCTGCAATTCACCCTGTTTTATCTCTCATTTGTGTCCTTGCGTGACTCTTACCTCCTCTCAGTGTTTTAAATATCGTTACCATATTATCACTGGTCTTTCTGTGCTCTAAGCACTTTTTCTACCATCTCAATAGGCTTGACTGGGTGTGGGTTCCATACTGGTGCTCCACATTCCAATATAGGCCAATCATTTGGCATATATAGTGCTCATGTTGAGGTTACCGAGACGTGCATGTACTTCGAAGGTTATTCAGTACTATGTTCACACCGAAGTGCCTTCATCTCATGTGATGTTTGCAGTCTTTGTCCCATGAACCTACATTCTCCTTCAAGTCTTCTTAGCTCTTCCACGATTTTTATAACTTAACATTTGTTAGTGTTAGATTTTAATAGAAACTTGTCAGACCAGACCTGCATCTTGTCCAGATCATTTGTAGTCTTTACTGGCTCACTCTTCCTCGTTTGCTCCTCATTAGTTTCATATCTGCGAACAAAGATAATTTTCTGTCGGTTTCTTCCATCACGTCGTTCACTTACACAAGAAAAATGTTTCATGTTCGGATACTGACCCTTGGCGAGCCCTCCATTTTGACGCCCCTTTCTGGGCAATCAATAGCTGTTATATTTCTTTTACGTATTCCCTTATGAACTGCATTGTATTAATTGCTAATTGACCAGTTTTACCACACACCACACACACACACACACACACACACACACACTTGATCAATCACGTCAAGAAATTAAAGTGCTAAGGTTTGCGACAAGGTTAATTCCAGAGGTAAGGGGAATGTTCTACAAAGAAAGGTTAAGGGAAATCGGCCTGACGACACTGGGGGACAGGAGGGTCAGGGGAGACATGATAACGACATACGAAATACTGTGTGGAATAGACAAGGCGGACAGAGACAGGATGTTCCAGAGAGGGGACACAGAAACAAGGGGTCACAATTGGAAGTTGAAGACCCAGATGAGTCAAAGGGATGTTAGGAAGCATTTCTTCAGTCATAGAATAGTCGGGAAGTGGAATAGCCTAGCAAGTGAGGTAGTAGAGGCAGGAACCATACATAGCTTTAAGATGAGGTATGATAAAGTTCATGGAGCAGGGATAGAGAGGACCTAGTAGCACTCAGTGAAGAGGCGGGGCCGGGAGCTGAGTCTCGACCCCTGCAACCACAGCTAGGTGAGTACAATTAGGTGAGTACACCTATGATGAGAGTACTAGAGCGATGGTTGACACACTGGCTGAAGTGGCCAGAAGGGCTCATGCGAGCATGAGCCCTTCTGTCCTCCAGTGTCGTCAGGCCGATTTCCCTTAACCTTTCATCGTAGGACATTCCCTCTATCTCTGGAGCTAACCTTGTCCCAAACCTTTGCACTTTCTCTAATTACTTGACGTGTTTGATCAAGTGTGGGTTCCAAACAGGTGCTGCATTCTCCAGTATGGGCCTGACGTACACAGTGCAGTGTGTCTTGAACGATTCCTTACTAAGGTATCGGAACTCTGTTGTCAGGTTTGCAGGCGCCCATATGCTGCAGCAGTTATCTGGTTGATGTGTGCTTCCGGAGACGTGCTTGGTGTTATACTCATCCCAAGAACTTTCTCCATGAACGAGGTTTGCTTCTTTGGCCACCTAGCCTATACTCCGTCTGCGGTCTTCTTTGCCCTTCCCCGATTTTCATGACTTTGCTAGACCAGGTGTCCAGCCTGTCCAGGTCTCTGAAATCCTGCCTGATCCCCATCTGATTTAATTCTCCTTATTAACTTCACATCATCTGCGAACAGGAACACTTCTGAGTCTATCCCTTCCGCCATGTCATTCACATATACCAAAAATAGCACTGGTCCCAGGACTGACCCCTGTGGGACCCCGCTTGTCACAGGTGCCCACTATTATACCTTATCACGTACCATGACTAGTTGTTGCCTCCCTGTCAGGTATTCTCTGATCCATTGCAGTGCCCTTCCTGTTATACGCGCCTGATCCTCTAGCTTCTGCTAGGAGAAGCATGCGTATTGTTTAATTCACGCGAGTTGCAGCCCTGGTGATAGCAAAGTCAACAGTGTCACCGCTGCCTCTTCAATCATTGAGGACATCAACCAGACAAACATCAGCATAACTACAGTAATAGAATCTATTTAGGTTAAACATTTAAACACTTATGTAAATGCATCTCAAAACATCAATATAACAGCAGACTGGATGACCTTAATGCCCATAATAAATTCAGACGGAACAGTACTAAGTGCCAAGGAGAAAGATTTACAGAGAAGATTACTTGAATCTGCCCTCATCAGTATCTCCAACTTCAACAAGCATGACATTTTTCATCGCGATGATCCGTTTCGCTGCATCTTTGATTCATCCCCAGCAGTTGCACCTGGTATAGCCAGTAACGTGTCACCGGCCTCTTCTCATTGAGGACTAACGAGACTGGCCAGCTATCGTAGATGTATGGAAGCTTCACCTCAAAATCATCAAACTCACTTACACTGTCCCTTGATGTAATAATTCAACGGTGAATAAGGAAAAGTTTTGGAAGTATTACTTGATAGTATGTACCTATTAACAAGATGACTTTTACGTGTCCTGAGTATCTTTGTGTCACTCCGCGGTTACACCTCTTCTAGTCCAGCTGAACGTACTCATCTTTTTAAACTGCCACCTGTCTGGCTGGGCGTTTCCTCAACTCACTCACTCACTTTTAGTGGCATCAACTGATAACTATTTCATAGACTACATGTTCACTATTACCTCACACTGCTATATTGTGCCTGACGTTCTCACTTATTCCTCACATTCTCACTATTTCCTCACACTGCTCACTATTTCCTCACATGTTCACATTTCCTCACCTCCCTATTCTAAGTTATGTACTAATAGTAACCTGTTAACAAAGCTTCTGTATAGATGCATTTTCGAAATTATGTTAGTGGATTACAATACATACAAGTTGATTTATAAGGCGCATGTGCAAAGTAGTAAGGGTGACAGAGCGCTTGTTCAGAGAAACAGAAGGATAGTTAACATAGGAACATAAGAAAGAAGGAACACTGCAACAGGCCTACTGGCCTATGCGAGGCAGTTCCAATTCTCCCACCAGCTTAAGCTAATGCCATGACCTAGTGAGGTCAGACACGTCACTTAAGGGAGGAGCAGTGCATCAGACCTAGTAGCACAAGCTAGTCAGGTCCAATTCACACCCACCCACACCCACTACAAACTGGCATAGTGCCTGATAAGTGGAAAATGGCAAATGTAATACCTATTTACAAGGCAGGTGACAGGTCCTTGGCTTCGAACTATAGACCAATAAGCCTTACCTCCATAGTGGGAAAATTTATGGAATCAATAATTGCCGAAGCAATTCGTAGGCATCTTGACAGGCACAGATTGATTAATGAATCTCAACACTGTTTTACAAAGGGGCGTTCCTGTCTTACGAATTTACTAACTTTTTTCACTAAGGTGTTTGAGGAGGTAGATCATGGTAATGAATATGATATTGTGTATGTGGACTTCAGTAAGGCTTTCGATAGAGTTCCACATCAGAGGCTATTGAGGAAACTTAAGGCACACGGAATAGGAGGAAATTTTTTTTCCTGGGTAGAGGCATGGCTGACTAATAGACAGCAGAGACTGCATAAATAGGGAAAAATCAGAATGGGGGCACGTTACAAGCGGTGTTGCTCAGGGGTCAGTGTTGGGCTCGATGTTGTTCACAATTTACATAAACGACATAGATGAGGGAATAAATAGCGACATAAGCAAATTTGCTGATGACACCAAAATAGGCCGTCCAATTCATTCTAATGAGGACACTAGAGTACTCAAGGATGATTTGAATAGACTGATGCAATGGTCGGAGAAGTGGCAGATGCAGTTTAATATTGACAATGCAAGTTCTAAATGTTGGACAGTTAAATAACCATGCCACATATAAACTAAATAATGTAGATATTAATACTATTGATTGCGAAAAGGATTTAGGAGTTCTGGTTAGCAGTAATCTAAAACCAAGACAACAGTGCATTAGTGTTCGTAATAAAGCTAACAGAATTCTTGGCTTCATATCTAGAAGTATAAATAATAGAAGTCCTCAGGTTGTTCTTCAACTCTTTATATCCTTGGTCAGGCCTCATTTAGACTATGCAGCTCAGTTCTGGTCACCGTATTACAGAATGGATATAAATGCTCTGGAAAACGTACAGAGGAGGATGACAAAGATGATCCCATGTATCAGAACTCTTCCCTATGAGGATAGACTGAGGGCCCTGAATCTGCACTCTCTCGAAAGGCGTAGAATTAGAGGGGCATATGATGAGGTGTATAAATGGAAAACAGCAATAAATAAAGGGGATGAAAATAGGTGCTGAAAATTTCCAGCCAAGACAGGACTCGCAGCAATGGTTTCAAGTTGGAAAAATTCAGATTCAGGAAAGCACTGGTTTGGTAATAGAGTCGTGGATGAGTGGAACAACTCCCAGTACAGTTATTGAGGCTAAAACGTTGTGTAGTTTTAAAAATAGGTTAGATAAATACATGAGTGGGTGTGGGTGGGTGTGAGTTGGACCTGGCAGCTTGTGCTGCTGGGTCTGGTACGGTGCTCCATCCTTGAGTGGAGATGACCAGACTGGGTGGGTCATTGGGCTAATCCGGGGGGGGGGTTCATTGGTCTAATCCGGGGGGGACATGGACCTGCTCCGAATGGGTCAGTAGGCCTGTTGCAGTGTTCCTTCTTTCTTATGTTCTTATGTTCTTATGTATATATCCAACCTGTATTTTTAAAACTGCAAAACATTTTAGCCTCAATAACTGTACTCGGGAGTTTGTTCCACTCATCCACAACTCTGTTACCAAACCAGTGCTTTCCTATATCCTTCCTGAATCTGAATTTTTCCAATTTAAAGCCATTGCTGCGAGTCCTATGTTAGATATTATTAATACGCTATTTACACCCCCTTTATTAATTCCTGTTTTCCATTTATACACCTCGATCCAACTCATTGGATTAAGAGACCTTTACCGTCATGAGGATCTTTTTCTTAAAGTCAAAATAATGAAATAATGTTTTTTTTTTTTTTCAAAAATAGAATTAAACATTATTGGTAGTGTTAGAATGTTTACTGTCAGCACTCAGTTCCAGGGAGAGTGCCAGCACTCAGTTCCAGGGAGAGTGTCAGCACTCAGTTCCAGGGAGAGTGTCAGCACTCAGTTTCAGGGAGAGTGTCAGCACTCAGTTCCAGGGAGAGTGTCAGTACTCAGTTCCAGGGAGAGTGTCAGCACTCAGTTCCAGGGAGAGTGTCAGCACTCAGTTCCAGGGAGAGTGTCAGCACTCAGTTCAGGGAGAGTGTCAGCACTCAGTTCCAGGGAGAGTGTCAGCACTCAGTTCCAGGGAGAGTGTCAGCACTCAGTTCAGGGAGAGTGTCAGCACTCAGTTCCAGGGAGAGTGTCAGCACTCAGTTCCAGGGAGAGTGTCAGCACTCAGTTCCAGGGAGAGTGTCAGCACTCAGTTTCAGGGAGAGTGTCAGCACTCAGTTCCAGGGAGAGTGC